CAGGCTGCAGTCAGGCTGTGGACTGGAGATTTATTCCTCATCTGAAGCTTGACTGAGTCTGCACAACCCACTACCAAGCTCATGCTCACGCTCATGGCTATAATAGGCTTCAGTTCCTCATTGGCAATTGGCCAGAGGCCTCAGTTTCTTTATAGCAGCAATTTTCGACTGATGTGCTGCAAGAAGCACACTGGTAAGCCACGAGAATTTTTAAAACATGCAATACCTGACTATTTATTCCGGGGCACTGAACTCTTTTCTCTTAAACTGACGAATAAAAAAATGACAACAGTCAACTCAGCAATCACTGTCTGGTGTGAATGAATCAAAATTATACTTATTTTTTGTCAAATCAGAAAAAAATATATATTTTGGTGTGCTGCAGAATTTTTTAAATCCTCACTATAGGCTATGTTTATTTTAGTTGATATTTAGAGAGACACGAGGAGAGAGAGAGGAACATCAATGTGAGAGAAACATCAGTACACATCAACCAAGGATCAAACCTGCAACCTAGGTATGTATGGGACCATGCTCCAGCTGAGCCACCCTGCTAGAATGCTGTGCTGCATTGCAGGATTTTAGTGATTAGTCTATGTGGGCCACAAGATGAAAAAGGATGACAATGGATGCTCTGTAAGAATAGCATCTTCACAGGTATATGCATAACATGGCAAGTGGCTTCTCACAGATCAAATGATGAGACAAAGAGAGATCAGAGTGTATGAAGAACAGGAGAGGAGAGGAAACATGTAAGGTCTTTTATGACCTAATCTTGGAGGTCACATACTATGACTTTTGTCATATTCTCTTGGTAATAAAGATCAGCCAAAGACTGCACACTGATTTAAAACCAGAAGCCAGAGATCATGGTGGCAAGGTGGGGAGGGGGTGTTCTACCATAGTAACTAACTGTACACTAATTAGAATATATTCCAAACTACACATACTGCTAAAACTAAAAATTTAGAGTCCTTCATAACCTTTCTACGTACTTCATAACCCCTATATAACTATTATAAATGATTTGGTGTGTATGTTTTAAATTTTTTCTTTGCTTTTACATATATGGCTATGTATTTATGTGTGTGCACATGTGTATATGTAATTCATGAAAATATTCTAAAGCTTTACCTTCTTTTCTGAAGTATGTTCTTCCACATAAACTATTGTGGACATTTTCCCAAACAGATCTATATTTAATCATCAGTGACTAGTATTCCACATTATGGATATAGTCAAGTTCTGTTTTAACCAATTTTTAATAGTTACATGTAGATGTAATTGCTCCTAATTTTTATCCGCTCCAGTTTACTTCTATAAATTTGTATTACATTGATCTTGGTCACATCTGCATACATTTGATATAGAAGATCAGTCAATTTAAATAATTTCTTTCCCAAAAGAAAAAAAGACTAGCATTTCTTAAGCGTATTTTTTCATTTAAGTTTTGGAGACATTAACCATATAATTCTACTTCAAACTCTGATACACACCTGAGCATATTTGTTCAAGTACTATCCAGTTTGTATGCATGTACAGGGCCCCTGATCTCAAGAGACCTACAATCTTTGGAAGTAGTGATGATATGGTGAAAGTGATGGTGATGACGATGGTGGTGATGGTGGTGGTGGTGGTGATTGTAATGGTGAAGGTGATGTGTTTGAAGTAGAAGGAATTGCAGAGCACATTGAGGCAGACACGCAAATACCTAAATTCCATACAATGCAATTATTACACTGAGAAGAAAGCACTCAGAAGGCCTACTAATTGGGGACTTAAGAAAATCTTCCCCCTAAAAAAAATTCATATTGGCAAAGACATAAAGAATGTAGATTAACCAGGTCATAGGAGTCATCCGTCATTAATTAAAAAGATGATTTCTATTTCCACTTCTCTTATTTTTCAATTCACACACATACTCATTTTAATCTACTCATATTTCACAGAGATAAACATCTCCCGTCTGCCCCCAGAAAAGAGACATGCTGATGACTAACATCTTTAAATTTAGATGTTGATTCACTTACCAATATTCACTGAAAGCCTGCCACGTGCCTGTCTCTGTTCCAGGCACAATGAATATGGTGATGAAAAACCTGTACCTTTGTAGGCTTATATTTTAGTGGAGAGAGATAGACACAATCAAAGAGTAAGGTGTATACTTCTTCAGATTAAGAGGGGGCAAGTGATGAAATAGGTTTTACTTTAGATAGATTGCTAGTGCAGTTCTTATTCATGGCTTTTGTATCAAGCACAACTATTTTGATTACTATACTTACTGAAAGATGCCATAATAAAAGTAATTTGTCTGAGAGTTTTTTTAGTATCCACTTTTTCAACCCTAAGGAAAAACAGGCCTATAGTTAGGCCTCAGAAACCTAGACAGAGGGACTCCAAGTCAAAAGATCTCTTACTCACTCGTCTTGGCGAGTTGGCTGCATTATCTTAATTGTGCACTGACCTCTGCCATTCGATGGAGGCCACCAAGATCCCCTATGAAATAGTGTTTCCCTGATCTACTTTAAAAAATAGTAACAACAAAACTATAAGGAAAACATTGATAGAGCAGCATAGGTCTGCACCTCCCCACCCCTCAGCTCTGGTCACCAAGGCTGGGTCATAAAGTACAAAAATGGTCTCTTACAGGATACAAACGGCATGATCCAGAAAGTCAATTATAAGCAGGTTGGTTAGAAGTTGTTCTTTTGTTTTGTTTTTTAATATGACTTGTTATATAAAATTTGAGAAATTTCCCAGCAATGTAAGGAAAGGCAGATTTGGAGGGCATGACTTTAAATCTAAAAACTAATGAAAATGAGCCACTTCAACAATGTCCTTACAATACTTAAAATTTCCTCTTATTTTGGTCTCAATTATGTATGTATTTCTGATGTATTAAAAATAGAAATCTGGCTTTATATAACGGCTCTAGGAAAACAGGCTGGAATTATCTTAGTCAACAACATTATCATGACATTGGGCAGCAACTATTTAGATGCTGCTTTTCAAAAACAGCATCTGGAGTCTGAATTTCTGTTTCTCTTTAGCTTGCAAAAATCATTATTTTGCTGCTAAATATAGGCCTAAGTATAATACACATTTAGAGTTTGACTCTTTACCTTATAAGGTAAAAGTAGGTATGAAAGTGTCATGAAATAGATAGTCTACAAATTCCACTGGCACCAAAAACGAGACCCAGCTGTGTGTGTCAAAATCCTCAAAGACCCTGTGTTTAGCCAACTCTCATCATTTCTGAAAACATCTCAGAATTTCAAAAAGTCCTGTTTTGGCACATAACAGATAAATCAATAAATGCTGGATTAAAAATGAGCTTTTTTTGTAGGTACTTTTGAAAAGTTAACAAGTTACAAACTATCAAAATTTCTGACATAATTTTGGTCTCGGGTCTGCTGATATGGATGTGTTATTCTGAAGTAAAATTTAGTACTGATACCATCATGGTCCAGTTATCTACATACTCCTCTCAAAAAGTAGCTCACTGGGAGCACACTTCATTTATGAAAACCAGTGACTGCACAGATTTAGCTATCAACCAATGTATAAATGTACCAAGTCTATTAAAAGTAAGCCCTGGCTAAAGAGACTCCATCGCGTACTCTAAGCATATCCACCTTAATGTTTACCTTCCAGGAACCAGAAAATACATTAATAAAAATGATCTCAGATATTTTCCAGACAGTCATTTTATTTCAGGCATTCTACTGACGTTTTGTGAACTTATAGAATTTTACTTTTTCAAGGATACACTATTCTTATTTTTCCTTTTATGGAGTATGAAGTATGGAGGTAAAATGATTCACCTTATAAAGTTCCTCAGGTAGGTAGATAGCCAGGATTCAGGTTGCTGAGTTCCTTCCTCTTTTCTCTTCCTCTTTTCCAGGCCAACTCCCTTGCAAAGGGGCATGAGTCGTTCTTACTTCTAGTATTTTAAAAGGTTGTTTCCAGGAAGGTTTTGGAAAATGTGCCTACCATACATGTCCAAATCAGTCTTGTGCAAACATCTAGCCTACATAAGCATTTACAGAATTAATATCTCATTGCTGTAAGAAAAACAAATCTTAGTCTAGAAAATCAATAGCAATATTAGTCACAGAAGGGTAAGTCTATTATTGTACTTTTAGAAAAATAGAGGCCACCAAAAGAGGACAGAAGGTACATTATAAGACCAAGCTGAAGCCAATATAACATTTTTAGTATCAAAGAATATTCACACATATGAATGGATGAAACAGGACATCCTACCATGATCAAACCATTTATGTTTATCTTTCCCACTTCCCCTTACATCATATTTGGAAGATAGAGTCCTGTGTATTTTGGTCCACTCAGTCATATGCTAGGTGGATTTCTCAAAACACTTCATTGTATTGGGCCTGCATTATATTTGCTCATATCACACGAACAAGATCTTTACATAATTACTTTCATTGTCAATCACTTCTAGTAATCTGTTGTAACAAGCAGCATAATAACAGGAAATGAATCACACTAGTAACTTGTTGACTTTTATCAATGTCTGAACCTAAAATTTAACGCTGATACATATTGAAATATAACTGAGTTTTTCAGCTGAAAATGCTTACCACTAAATCAACCATTACTGCTTTGGAAACTCCTTTGTCTTTTGCTAATGGCTTAGGCTCTGTGTAATTGTGATACTTATAGAAATTAATTTAAAATTTAGGGGTTATTTCACTTAGCATAATACTCTCCAGGTCCCTCCAGGTGTGCAATGAAGGCAGGGGTGAGGCAGGAATGGTGGGAGGATGTCAACGGAAGGAAAAAGGCGGGACATATGTAATACTTTCGAAGTAAAGATAAAAAATTATTTTTAAGTTAGGGGTTAGAAGATGGTTGTTATTGTTAAATTAAGAATTAGAAATATTTTAAGATACACTTAGAAAATTCTTCTTAAACAATTTGGTGAAGATGTTACTAAGACAATGATATTTTGCCTTTGTTTCTTATCCGTAGAGTGAATTCAGCTTTTCCCTGGAGTCGAGGTAAGGAGAGCATTGTTCTCAGAGTCGATCTTCTCGTGATCTCCAAATGTATTATGCCCAGAATTCCAAAGGAAAAGGTAATTTTTGTTTTTCGGGCAAATCCATTATATTTCAGATTAAATAACATAAATGGGTTTTTTGAGCTAATTTTAAGCCAAACACATTATTGATGCCTTCAGTGGTAAATATTTTCAGGAAAAGACATTTTTCTTAAAAACAAAGTTCCTTAAATATCATGTGCCCTAGTTAATTTTACACACACACAAAAAAAGAAAAACTGTCATAAAAGTTATATATAAAGTATTTTGTAACAATACCAAAACCACCCTGTGGTGAACGAAAGGGATAAAATATTTCCTCAGACTATTTCTTGGTGGTAAATGAGGACCACCAACGACCAGGTCATTTAGATCTTGACTAAGGCAGTGATTAACATTACAACTTTGAAAATATGATAGTATAATATAATAATAAATAATATTAAATTAACATATAAATGTATATATAATAAAAGTGATACCTTATTTAACTCCTAATTTTATAACATGAAAGATTAATTTAATTACTTGTCTACTTCTTGACTATAAAAGATTAACTGTATCCGAGTAACAATATTTTTTATACATTGTTAATATCTAAATGGATGGATGGATAAAGGTGTTAGAAGAAAAAAATTGTCATAGTCTAAAGATGTTTATAGCTCTTACACAGAATAAATTTTATCCAAAGCACCCCAGTGATGATACTCATTCACCTACTTTTTCAACTACATGGAATTAGAAAAATATCATGAAAAAAATTCTATGACATTCCTGTTTGTCAAATTCACCTAAATGCCAGGGCTAGTCTGTTACAAAATTATCAATAAGAGAGAATGTGTATCAAATTTCTTTTGAGCACCCTCACCCTTATTGGCCCTTGACCTAGTTCCTTGACACAGACTTCCCTAATCCTCACACCCTAGGAAGGTCTGCTGATACCTTCTTGTGCAATTTCGGGCCTGCCCAGATCCTAGACCCATGCAGAAGAGGGATGGATATGTGCAAGAGTTCAATCTTCAATTTGTCTCAACTTGGGAATCTCTGAACTTGATCAAATTTCCAGACAAGGATCTGAGGGCTTAATGCTCCCACAGTGATCCTGAAATCCCAGATTTCTACCACAAAGAATGGAGAACTAGGTAACTAAAAACAACCTTTCAGTTGAATGTGATAGATACTAGATAGATAATAAATACATAGATGAATGAATAGATAGATGATAGATGATAGATAGATAGATAGATAGATAGATAGATAGATAGATAGATAGATAGATAGATATAGAGACATAGATAGATGATAGATAGATACATAGATAGATACCTAGAGACATAAATAGATAGATGATATATACATAGATAAATAATCTTATATACATACATGTATTTTAATTAGTCTGAAACCATCATCAGTTAACAAGGTAATGAATTATTGGGCCAACTTCCCAGAGAAGTGAGTGTGTTATTTTGAAGCCACTTGTGCTGCCCCTGGACACTTGGCAATCCAGTTTTGAGTCGTGAGCTGTGCTACGTAGGAGTGTACATGGCAAGAAACTGATATCTCTAACCAGTGAGGACCTATGGCCTGCCAACAGCCATGTGAATGGGGTTGGAAGTGGGCCAGGTGGAGTCTGCCACCTGAGTAAACTGGAAACATACCCTCCTCTAGTCAAGCCTTAAGATGACTACAGTTCCAGGTGATACCTCATGGTGCCTTGTGTGGAGACCCTGAGCCAGTGTGGCCCATTACCAGATCTCCCTCTCCTATATCCTTCCTACCTGCTTGGTATTTGGTGCCCAATATCTCAAGTGTTCCTCTATAACACCATTCTCACATCATCCAACCACTGTCTATCTCCACAGTGGAATCAATTCTTTCTGGCCCTGGCCCACCCTAGGGATTTTCTTTATCTTCCTAGTAGGAAAAAGCTGCTCTCAAGAAAGGACCGTGAGCAAATGAGCTCCTGAACGTGGAATTCCAGACATCAGGAAGCCAAGGGGAAGGTGTGCATTTGGTGGTGGTGAGAAGAAGTGGTAAAGTTTTACAGAAGTTTTGATCTCATACATATTATAAAGCCAATTACATGCCACATTGCCCAGGTGTAAATATTATCCTATTACAACAAACAAAATATGTTCTTTTCTCACATAAGCTCTGGAAGAAAACAGCATCAAGGATTGATGTTGCAATTTATATTGAAAATTAAGTTACTTTTTTTTTTATCCGCTCCTGAGGATATTTTTCTATTGATTTTGAGAGAGAGTGGAAGGGAGAGAGGGAGGGAGGGAGAGAGAGAGAAGGAGAAAATCTTCCATGTGAGAGAGACACATAAATTTGTTGCCTCTCCCATGACCCCTACCAGGGCTGGGGATCCAACCTGCAACTCAGGTATGTGCCCTTGATCGGAATTAAACCTGTAACCCTTTGGTCTGCAGGCAGACACTCCAACTGCTGAGCCAAACTGGACCGAGCTATTTATTGTTTTGTTTAGCATTAATCCTCTCCATTATCAAAGTTAGAAATGAGAGGGGGAGAATCTTGAAAAACAACAACAAAAACCCAGCTATTTCAACCCTGATGCATTTAGAAATAGCTATATCATGACCTTATAATTTAACTATTTATATTTTTTATTCAATTATTTCATAAACTATTTTCTGAGAGCTGGTTTACTTTAAAATTTTTTTATCTTTATTGTTGGAAGTATTACCAATATTCCCCCTTTTTTCTCCCATTGACCCTCTCCTTCCCACTCCCAATTCCCTCCTGCCTTCCCCACATTATTGTAGTGTCCATTGGTTATGCATATATGCATCTAAGTTCTTTGGTTTACCTCTTCCTGCCCCCCATCTTTATCCCCCTTCCCTCTGAAGTTTGTCAGTCTGTTCCCTACTTCCATGTCTCTGGATCTATTTTGATTGTCAGCGTATTTTGTTCATTATATTCTATAAATAAGTGAGACCATGTGTCATTTGTTTTTCTCTGACTGGCTTATTTTGCTTAGCATTATACTCTCCAGGTCCCTCCATGTCATCTCAAAAGGTAAGAGATCTTTCTTTCTTACAGCTGCATAGTATTCCATTGTGTAAAAGCACCACAGCTTTTTATCTACTCATCTACTGGTGGGCACTTGGGCTGTTTCCAAATCTTAGCTATGGTTTACTTTAAAATTTAAATGGTGTCCCTGGTCCATATGGCTCAGTAGTTGAGTTTCAACCCATGTACCAAGAGGTTGCCGGTTCAATTCCTAGTCAGGGCACATGCCCAGGTTGTGGGTCCAATCCCCAGTGGGAGGCATACAGGAAGTGGCCAATCCATGTTCTCTTTCATTGATGTTTCTCTCTCTCGGTCCTTCTCCATTACACTCTCTCTAAAATTAAGAAAAAACATTTTAATTAAATGGTGTGATTATAAAATTATACAATTGCTATGAAAACAGTGTGGCAGTTCCTCAAAAAATTAAAAGAACTACCATATGATTCAGCAATTCCATTTCTGGGTATATATTCAAAAGTAGTAAAGGCAGCGTCTCAAAGAGATATTTGCACACCCATGTTGGGACTGCTAGAACAAAAATACCATAAACCGGCTCTGTCTTGTGTGGTTCAGTTGGTTGAGCACCATCCCATGCACTGAAAGGTTTCCAATTCAATTCCCAGTTAGGGCACATACCAAGGTTTCAGGTTCAACCCCTGGTTGGGGTATGTGCAGGATACAACCTATTGACGTTTCTCTCTCACATTGATGATTTTCTCCCTCTCTCTCTCCCCCTCCATCTCTCCATTAAAAAAATCAATAAAAACATACATTTTTTAAAAACCACAGACTGGGTAACTTAAAAACACTGGAAATGTACTTCTTACAGTTGAGAAGGTGAGAGGTCAAAGATCAAGACTGACAAATTTGGTGTCGGGTGAGAACCCACTTCTTGGTTCAGACTGCCATCTTCCTGCTGTGTGTCCCCACTTGGCAGGAGTGAGGGGGCTCTCTGAAATCTCTTCTGTGGACACTAGTCCCATCACCAGGGCTCCGCTTCCCACAGGCTGACCTCCAAATATCACAACGAGGATTAGTTTTCAACATATGAATTCGGAGGCACACAGACATTTAGTCTATAGCACATGTTCATTGCAAAACTATTCACAGTAGCCGAGATGTGGAAACAACTCACAAAATGTAGTATATACAGACAATGAAATATTATGGGATATTTTTCAGAGGAGGAAATCTTGTCACATGCTGCAACTTGGGGAAACCTTGAGGCCATTATGCTAAGTGAAATAGCCAGTCACAAAGAGACAAATATGGTGACTTCACTTATATTATGTATCTAAAGTAGTCAAATTCATAGAAACAAGATAGAATGGTGGCTGTCAGAGCCTGAAGGGAGGAGGGAAAGGGGAGTTGCTTTCTAATGGGTACAGAATTTCAATTTTATAAGATGAAAAAGTTATAGAGATCTATTATACAACAATGCAGATGTGCTTAACACTACTAAACTGTACACTTACAACTGATTAAGATAGGAATGAGGTATCCAAAGGATTAACTGCTCTCTAGATTCCCTGCTGATATATCCCTCCTGCCTCCCTGCCTGGTACTTTGTACCCAGCCCCTCTGCAGGGGACCCTCCAATGCCAGCCTCATATTGCTCTGCTGCCTTTGTAGACAGTGTCTTCTAAGCATTTCCTGTGAGATTATGGGACTAATTTCATTTGGATAATCCATTGCTGATAAAACCATTTCAGAATTCCTGTGTCCACAGGTCGCAACAATTGTTCTTCCTAGTGTGACTGAAATAGAAGAGGCAATTTCTTACACATGCATCTGTACAAGAGAGGATCAGAAACTGCTTTATAAAAGCCCCCAATGATTCCTCACCTTGGCAAAATTATGACAAAACTCAGACTTATTTATTTTAAGTTAGGCTGGAGATCAAATTATTCATCTAATATACAGTAAATAAAAGTTCAAGAAAATCATTGTTTCCCTTTATATTTTGGTTCAAGTAGTTTTATATTCCTACAACTTGATCTCAAAGTATAGGAAACTTTTTAAAGATGTTGGCAGATTTTGACTGAAAAGATTTCCATTAAACTCCAGATCTTAACTATTAGCGAAAATGAAATAAAATGTCTCACTGACTAAAAACAGTTCTTTCTACTTAAAAAAAAAAAAAAAAAAAAATCCTGCTGTGAAAATTCTTCTTTTCCTTGTCTTCTAGAATACTTTTTGTACTGCAAAGAACATTTCCTTTCTTTAAAGAAATAGCAACTCCTTTATTCAACGATAGATTGTTGAATCTCTAATCTTCTCTTTCTAATTTCCTTTGACTATTTCACATCTCTTTAGACACACCATTGGGATATTAAGGGAGCAGAAACAAGGTAAGGTAAAAATTAAAGAAAATAGAGGAGATAATTTATAAAATCATCATAAATTACATTCTGATATGAAATAACAATTTCCCAAAGAAGTACCTTACACATGATAGAATTGTTCTAATATAAAGTAATGGTAGAATTTTGTCCATGATTGATTGAATAGCCTAAGAATAATGTACATAAATGTCAAGTGTGTGTTTACAAAGCAAGAAAACACAGGTTGGACTGCCTGCTTAGACTGGAATTTCTAACACATTTGTAAAGTTGTGCCGAAGGGTTCTTGGGAAGTTTTAAAGAGTTTGTAGACCAGGTTATTCTCTCTCTCTCTCTCTCTCTCTCTCTCTCTCTCTCTCTCTCTCTGATGTTAGTGTGAAAAGAAAAAATATGTCAAAGAAAAAATATAAAAATTACTTAAGCCATAAGCAGGAGAACAAATTCTTTAATTAAATCCTTTCATTAAAGTGGACTGTAGCCTACCAATAGAAGAAGCTTAACTATTCTGCTTTTCTCATACACAATGAAGAACAAGTGGCCTTCCTGTTTCTCATATATTCTGTAAGAAGAAAATACCTAATTATATCTTATTTCTAGTTACTGTAAGTCTATCAAGTTTTCATGACTTTAGAGGCATGAATTAGAACGAGGCATTATCAAGCAACCATCAACCATCGATACAGTTTCAAATCTTAGATTCTCTGATTTATAATCACACTGCTAATTTAAGAATCATGACAAGCTAATAATAGGTATAAGGTAAGTTGGCAAAGCAGTAATGATGTCTTAATTAAAATTCCAATAGAAACATTGTCCAAATCCACAGTTTTCAAATTTTGCTACTTCAGAAGAATAAATGTATTTTCATAAAAGCCTCGGTAAGTATGGGTCACAGGGATGCACATGTTTATCAAAACTCTTCAAACCGTGCACTTATGCCCTGTCCACTTAACTATATATCATACCTTAATTTTAAAAGAGTAAAAAGAGCATCCTTAACCATAAAGCCCAAAAAGCTACAGTCACTTAATATAAGAGAAAACCCCAAGAAATAGAAATGCTCAGGCTGTTTGCTATTGATTTGTGTGATCATTTTAAATCTTTATGCTCTTCCTTCCTTCAACCACTATTTGATCATTGGATCTGCTCCTGGGGGAATGTGTAGAGAAGCAATTGAAGCAACTTCTTCTGTGTTTTTCACAAACCTTGTCCCTCAACATTCATGATTTAGAGAATGCAAGGTAGATTTCGAAGGGTACATTCATATCAAGGGGATTACATGAAAGTATTAGCTTTTTTGTGGCTAAAAGGGCTTTTCTTTGTTCTTTTACCAGGGGAAAAGGTTTGCTTTGGGCGGGCTCCCTATGGCAAAGCTCTTTGAGGAATGAATTCTTAAGTGCATTCAACCATGTCTTTAGGACCTTCTACTTAAACCATTTAAAAGGGATAGTGGGACATTGTCCTTCACACCTTTTCTGTCTTTGATGGGTGATCTAAGCCAATCAGGAATTTTGATACACTTTCTAGGGCACTTGAAAAACATGATCTTAAAAACAAATTTGCAAAAGATTGCACATTTTTTATTAAAAAATAAAAATTCTTCATTAATGCCAAATGTAAAATTAGTTCAAACTCAAAAGTTTTCAGTCAAGGATTATTTAATTTTGATACAACTTTTTGCTTGTATTTACAAATAAAATTTAACAGTACTTTACTGGTGAATTTACAGTTAAAGTTTATCAACAAGGGATTTTAAGTATAAGATGAAGAAAACCTTGCAACTATGGTAGTACTGCCTATGGCATGAGTAGAGAGAAGGTAAAAAGGAAATAAAAGTCTGGCCTAAGATCTATTCTCACTTTTCTGCTCTTCAAGTTCAGTTAGTTTGTCTGTCAGCCTGATGTATTAGAGCAGGAAGTAACTTTAGAGATCATCCAATTCTTTCTTTCCATTTTACAAATGGGGAAACTGAGACTCAATTTCTCATGGTTTGATCAAGGTCATTCATGAAGATCAAGTAATAAACCTTTCACATAGTTACCTTTACATTTTCAATCAATTTAAGGTGAAACATCAATTATATATGAATGATGTTTAGAACACAGCTTTCTCAAAATAAGAAAAAAATATGTTTAGACTCTATGTAATTAAATTAATCAAAGCACAGTCTGCATAACCAGATAATTTTCATTCAAATCCTGGCTCCAAATCATAGTTCCACAACGAACTAGCCATGAGACTTTGAGTGACTTTCTGAGACTCTGTTTTACCACCTATACCTATAAAATCAGGGAGAATAATTCCTAGCTCAAATACTGCTGTGACAGAATAAATAATATCCTGTAAATAAGGTGTTAATATAAGTAGTAGCCCCTATAATAAGTAGTCAATATTGTATTTTAAATTCTATAAAAGGACTGTGTATGCTTACCTTAAAATTATTTGGTTTTGATCTTGCTAGAATAGCTAGAATTCTAGCTATTCCCTATAAACTTTTACAAGTTTAATAATTACATTTTATTTAATTATATTTTAGCAATTCTGCCCTATAGCTAGAATTGCTAAAATATAATTAAATAAAATGTAATTATTAAACTTGTAAAAAATATTTTTTGAGCTCAACTAATGGCAGGTGTTGTGATAGTACAAAAACAACGTGCAGTTCTATCCCTATCCTGAAAAAGAAATGAATTCACATGAAATCAACCATGACCCATAAAAGTCTCTATGTAATCAAGTGCTCAATTGTGTTTAACAGTCACAGCACTCTGAAACTAGGGAAGAGATAGACCTCAGTGAGGCTTAGAACAGACATCCAAGACTGGGTGGAGGAAAGATGAATACAGGTGGTGGTGAAGATGAGAGAGTGAATGCGGAGGGAGAGAAAGTGGCCCCATCTGTATGTTTTCTATATATGATGGGAAGATGAGAAGAAGGCTTGTGTAAGAAGGGCAGGTTTAAAACTGAGCAATATATTCATACTCCAAATGAATGTATGGAGCATTCATATAATTCCTCATTCACATAACACATATTGTTATTTGGCTCAGCTTTGAAGCAATTGATTGTTGACCTTGTTTTTACCCAGACAGGGAGGGTAAATACTGCTCTCAAAATAGCCAGATTTGAAATTATCACTCACAACCCTAGACCATATTTCTCATTCTTTATGCCTTACTCCTTAATCATGTTTTTAGAGCATATTTCACACTTGAAGTACATCTTTTTAAATAGAAATTGATTTTCTACTTCTACTTTCCCAGAAAACATTGCACGAAAGTAAAAAAATAAAATAAGATTCTTGTGCCCCTCTACCAATAATTAGCTGTGAAGCAAAAACCAGACACCTAGTCCCTAGGTAAGTTGCTACCTGAAATGCTTCCTTCTGGGTCTGAAATTTCACAGATAGAACCAGTTGACGAGAGAGCAAAGTAATATCCAATGCACATCACACAGCCTTCATTTCGGAGTTCTGTTTCATAGAATCTTTGGGCAAAACTGCTAGTCTATATTATTTCTATTCCATAAAAATTGAGTTCAGGGCGGGATAGGAAGAATTTATTTTATGACTCTGCCTGATAAATATCATGTGAATTTGAATGACATGTTCATGCTCCCTATAAGTATCAGGTCCCTGAGATAGCCTGACAATGCACTTCAGGGCAGAGCAGGAAGAGAGGGTAGTCCCAGCTAGAGACAACAAGGGAGGCATTTTAGTCCTCTCCTAGGACAGTGGGCGGGCTTGAGAAGAAAGGATCGCGCTCTTCTGTGTTCGGGGCCATGTAGACTGGAATTTTAAGCACAAAAACAGTGCAAAAAGCAGAGCCTCCAACCAAGCAGTCTTCAATATCACGCGGGGTATTTCAAGGAAAGAAAAGCCACAGTAGGTGTTACATGCCCAGGCTAACACTGTTAATGCGGAGCCCTGTTCTAGTGTGGAGCCCTGGCGCGTCACTGAGTGCGTAGAAACTTGCCCTTGGTTTGGGCTCCTGGTTTGAAAAACTCAGAACTAGGACAAATCAACTGCCTCCCAGGACGCGGCTCGGCGGGGCAGCGACTGCCCTCTGCAGCCCGCAGCTCCCGCTGACGCTGTCCAGGCGTTGCCCGGGGGAAAGGCTGCGGCGCGGTCGGAAGGCGCGGGAGGAGTCTGGCGGTGATTGATGAGCACGGGACGAATGAATAAAAGTACTTGTCTAGGGACAGCAAAGACCCCGAGTTAACTGTGAAGGTCTGGCATTCCCTGGGCGTTTCGTCAGAGCCAGAGCCGCCTGCACCGACGGGAGGCGGGCTCTGCTCCAGGAGCTGGGGGACCGAGCCGCGAACCCAACGCGTCCTGGTCGGCGCTCCCTGTGCTCGCTCCGCTCCTCGTGCGCCCCATCCTCGAGGGAAACCCTCTGGCTTGGTGTTGAATCAAAATCAGTGATTAAACCTTGTCCTGGGGCTTCAGCTGGATTAGGAGTATGGGAATATATCTGTTTATTAAAAAACACTTATAGACATACGAATTGAGGTCGGAGTTAAGGAGGGAGCGTGAATGTCTGAAGCCACTCGGAGGGGACAGCTTGCGCGTTAATGCTCACAGTCTGCCCAAGCCCGACGGAGCCGAGAAGTCTCCGAGGTTTCCCGAGTGAGCCCGCGCACTGCTGCGGGCGGGCGGCCGGGAACTGAGCGCAGGCAGCGGAGGGAGAGCGGCTTCCACCCACCAGGCGGAGTCTTGGCTTTCAGAGACCGGGTACCCGGATTCCCTGCCGAGCACAGTGCAGAGACTGGCGCCTTGGCCTCTGGGTGCCCTGATTCCCCCGTCGCCACGCGTCCTTAGCCAGAATGTATATGCTTCCTCCCTGCACACCTAGGAGCTCAGAGATTTGCCTTGGACACTCATCCTTCCCTCCCTGGCACACGTCCCTTCCAGAACGCCCCGCCCCGCTGCGAGTCATTTATCCCTGAGGGGTGGGGAGTGGGGTGACGCAGTGGAGGAAAACCACTGGGAACGCTGCTTCTGGAAGGGCAGTCGACGACTGCGGGCTGGCCACGCCGGCCAGTTTCCCACTGGCGCTCAAACTTGAGTTACTTTTGCGTGCAGACAGCAGCGCCGCTGCGCTCTGAACTAGCGGTTTGCAGGGCTGTGGCTGACCCAAGTGTCCTGTCTTCCTTCCTCTGCTGGCCTCCAGACTCTGAAAGCTGCGGAAAGGCCACCCGACGTCCACTGGAGCAGGCAGCAGCATGCAGCCACCGCCAAGCCTGTGCGGACGCGCCCTGGTGGCCCTGATCCTTGCCAGCGGCGTGGCGGGGGTCCAGGGAGGAGACAGGGGATTCCCGCTGGATGCCGCCACTTCGCCACTCCTGGGGACCACAGAGATAATGACGCCCCCTACTAAGACCTCTTGGCCGACAGTGTTCAATACCAGCGTGCCGTGGTCATCCGCACCTCCGCAAATGCCTAAAGCAGGAAAGCCGGTTGGAGCCCCGCCTCACACGCTCTCCCCTCCCAGGTGCAAAGGATCCATCGAAATCAAAGAGACTTTCAAGTACATCAACACGGTGGTGTCCTGCCTAGTGTTCGTGCTGGGCATCATCGGAAACTCCACACTGCTGAGAATTATTTACAAGAACAAATGCATGCGAAATGGCCCTAATATCTTGATAGCCAGCCTGGCTCTGGGAGACCTGCTGCACATCATCATTGACATCCCCATCAATGTCTACAAGGTAAAGGGTGCCTGCTAATATCGCGAGGGGAGGGTGACCAGTTAGGGAGGAGAAGATGGGAAAGTCTTTGGAGGGAGTTTACTCAAGAATATTCGTCCCCTCCTGAAAATCATTAATCACTGGAACCAAATGTCCTTTTGGTCTTCACTACCCCCTGCTAAGCATAGAGCAATTGTAGTCCCCAGACCAGCAGCATCAAAATTACTTGGGAATGTGTTAGAAATGACATTGTATGACCCCACTTCAGACCTGCTCTGGGGTGGAACACACTATTTTTTATTTTATTTTAAAAGCCCTCCATGTAGGGACCTGAAGAGTATTGTGCTAAGCAAAATAAACCAGTCAGGGAAAGACAAGTATCACATTATCTCACTTATATGTGAAATCTAATGAACGCAAACAGACCAGCAAAATAGGCCCAGAGACTTAGAAGCAGGGCACAGACTGACAGGTCTCAGAGGGAGGGGGTTGAGGGGGAGGGTGACAGGCAGAACATAACCAAAGAATGTATATGCTTACATGCATAATCCAGTGACACAGACCATAATGTGGTGAAGACCTGGGGTGGGGTGGGACCAGGTGGAGGGGGACAATGGGAGAAAATTGGGGGACATCTGTAATACCCTCAACAATAAAGATAAATACATTTAAAAATAAATAAACAAAAGCCCTCCATGTAATTATGATGAACTCTGAAGTTTGAGAACCACTGTCCTGAAGAATCTTGTCCCTAAATCTTACAGTCCATTGGGTATATTCTCCCTGCTCAAAATGTGGTCCAAAAGCAGGATTGATATCACCTGAGAGGCTGTTAGAACTGCAAGTCCACCCCAAACTATTGAATGAGACCTGCAGCTTAAGATTCTTAAGTAACTCATGCACACTAACCTTGCGAAGCATTTCCTTGGAGAACCCTGAAAGTAAAGGGGCTAGAATCTGTTCTTAGGAAACAAATGGGCTAGAAGAAAGAAACCTAGACTGATGAGTACAACACAGATCTCCTGCCGTGAATAACTGTACTATTCCTACTTTTTACTGAAGGCCTACAGTGGGCCAAGCACTGGGATAGCTATGTTGCTTTCTTTTTGTCCTTCTGACAGGCCACAGTGAATATTACAGATTATTAGTAGGATGCTCAAGTCTTCACAATGAGAAAGAGTTGGAGGTGGAAATCAGGCTAATCTGCCAGGTTCCATAGTGACAGCTGCACTCCACAGATTACTTCATGGACCAGACCAAGGGCACCTCAAGTCTGTACAGAATGGTTTCAGTAGCTAACATTATTGCGTGATCACCATGGGCATGAGAGGAACCAGGCATGGAGGGCAAGGTCGGGACATAAACCCCTACACAATTTAATTCCAGGCAGCTTTGGAACTCCAGACACATCCCAACATCTCTGGGTCTCAGTTTCCTCAATTCTACAGTAAGCCTGCTGGTGCCCACTTACTGGGGGTTTTTGGTGTTAAGAAAAATTGCCTAAGTGAAAGAGCTGGAAAATGTTAAAGGACTGTGCGAATATGTAAAATGCTTCCCTATCATGATCAGCAGTAGAAAGTTGCACATAAAAACAGAACCTACATGTTAGGGAATGGGAATGTGTTTTGCAGATTTGCCTAAAGCTAGTCCTCAGTATAAGGTGGGGGGGGGGGGGGACTACTGGGAAAGACTTGTAAGGGATGCTTTGATCTTGTGGCAGGAGAGATTATCACAAGGCATGCCTTTAAATTGCCTTCAAGAATCTCTGAAAATTCTAATCCAAATAGCTATATTTTAAGGGAATTCTAGAGACTTCTGAGGTATAGAGATAGGATTCAGATTACAATCCAGGCCCTAGAAGGAAATACTCCCAGAAATAGGGGATAAATAGAAGAAATTCTAAAATACCACATGACAATGAGTGCTTATGAACTCAGAGTTTTCTGGGAGAAACACAGGCTGAAATGGGCCTCTTAAATATAGTCATAGTTCCATTTGGACCAGAAGTGACCAAGTCATTTTTTAAGCAGTCCCATAGACCAAGTCTTACCATTCCAATTTGGCAGAGGAATTTCAATTCATTTCATCAAACCCAACTTGAGAATCTTTAGAGTACAAGGTTTTGGGAGAAATTTTAAAATACATGAAATAAGATCCCTCACAAAAGAGAGATTACATTTTTTAATTAAGCTTGCACAGAATTTTGTAAAAGGTCAGTTTAGGGACGTCCCAGTAAACCCCACACATCAGCCCCATTAGAAACTTTCCTGAGGCAGCCAGCAGCCAGCAGCTGAAGGGCTGTATGGAAGCTGGGGCCGAGAACATTTTCCTTCAGTGTGCCGCTTTTAGGCAAGATGTTCCTCAGCTCTTCCAGGCCCAGCCTACTTTCCCTGTCTTGTCAAATTATTACATTCAATATAAGCCAGAGAATATTTGACTCTAGAGGACACACAGGTTTTACTTTCATTTCAAATTCCTTTATGATTTCCCTAGGGAGTAATATTCTTTTCACCTAAAACCATTTCGTCTGCTAAAGCTGTGTTTTTACTTCTGAAATAAACTGAGTCACTACAAATCTGACCATCTAGTCTTCTGTATTGGTCATAAGCAAATCCATCTTGAAGAATTCGGTCCCATCATTATGTTTGTCATCGAATCCTACATGGTAGCCTTTAGTTAATTTTATGGTATGCATAAATAGGTGTCACTTGGGGTGCAATACAACAATAATGGCTACCATTTAATATGCACTAAGTACTTGATTTATTTCATTACATCACTGCAACAACACATGCGGTCACCCCCCATTTTATGAGAAATCACATGTTGGGGAGGTGAAGTTACTTGCCCAGTCACCCCACTAGAAAGTGGTAAAGCTAGGCTTGTACCCAGGTCATCTAGACCTAGAACCTGTGGTCCCGCCTCCCCTGCACTGATGCGCTCAGCCACGGCCTGCCTTTCTCCAGCCTGGAATGTTGTGATGGCTGTCCTGGAGCGTGCTGGTGGGATTGTGACACGTTTCCACGCAGCAGGATACTTGGCAAGCATTTCCTGCTTTAATTTGAGTCATGGGAGGATTTCTATCTCCCCAAATCCCCTTCCAATAGTCTGGAGTGTATACTATTGATAATAGCTATTTACCAAAGGCTTTATTTACCAAAACACCTAATCCAAGACTAGTTAAAAGCCATTTAATGTACTAAATGATTGTGTAGCCTTATAAGTAAGTTTTAAAAAATACATTGAGAATAGTCAGCTATTCTACTTCACAGAAAGTAATTTAAGTAAATTATGACTGCCATTTAAACTTATTCTTAAGTGGAGATTTGAATCTCCAAACCAGTGATTTATAATTTTCTTTTTTGTGAGATGTTACAACTGTCTATGAGAATCCAATTAATTATTTAAATTATATGTAATTAACATAGTATATATACATAACAATTAACACACAATATATTATATTATATAGTATAATATGCACACTCACAATTTCTGGGGGTTCATAGAATCCCTGAACACATTTGTTGGCACACCCAGGGGCCCAGAAATATCAATATGAATCTATTCCATTAATCTGGAGTTCACTAAATCTAGAGTTAAATAAAGTAGACAAACCACAAAATGTCATAGATCTTGTTGGAAGCCATAGTCCTTGATACCGCCACAGAATGGGACAGGTCATCACAGGGAGGCGCTGCTGTGAAGGGCTGGCCAACCTTCAGAAGTATGTTCGCTCTGCCTTGACTCCCATAAGGACCTGAGACTCTGGAAACCTGTAGAAGAGTCAGTCCTCTCACCAGGTCTCTTGTGTCAGGGAGGAAATCCTGTGTTGAAGGCCAGTGAGGTACTGTAGGACATTCAGTAACCTGATGCTGTCAAAAGGCTTCAAATATTCATGTAAACTTTCTGAAAATCAAAGCCTTGTTTATCCTTCTCAGCAGCACACACCAGGGCTGTTACACACTACATTGCACAAGGCCATCCAGATGAAAAATGAAAAATGCAGTCATCCAAAGAAAATATGTAAATAGACAGGTAAATATCATTTGGTACAGTGCCTGGCACATAGTAAGCAAATAAATTGATGTGTGTGCATGTGTGTGTGTGTGTAATAAGAATGGAGAGTAATTTAGGATTTTCTTTCAGTTTTTATCATAGACATAGCTATAAATAACGTCTTTGTACATATGGCTTTGCACACGTGTGTGACTCTATCTGAAGGGTAAATTTCTAGAACTAGAATTACTGTACCAAAGAACATGTGAATTTATAATTCTGATAGATATTGCCATATTGTGCTCCAAAGTTGTTATACTCTTAGTTTGAATCACTATTTTATATGACATCTCCGTAGAGATATACAGGTATTGATGTCTATCTCTAATATCTATGTATGCCGATATTTACATGGTCCATATATGTACCTGACCCAACAGCCAAGGTTTAAGTCTTTGATGTGAGGATGCATCTTTCTTTATTCACAAGCTACTTATTTGTGTCCTTCCTGTATAGACTAAAATGAAGGGGATAATCTAGATGTGTGTTGCCTGTGAGAGCCTATCTGACTACCAAGTTAGTACCAATGTCAAAGTTGTGCGGGAGGCAAAAGAGCTGGGTGCACTTGTGGATGCTCTGAAGGTTTTTATATTGTTGGTTCATTGGTTAGTTGCTTTGTCTTGGTTTAACAGTGATATTAAACAATCCTTGGTTGCAAGTTAAAGTTGAAATTCCTTTAACTTCTCAAAAAGTTAAAATTTCTTAAGCAAATAATAAGTTTTTAAATTATGTGTGGATTTTATTGAACAATTTTACTCGGTGCTATATTTACATGAATAACTGGATTAATATAGTTAATTTTCAAATACAGCATTCTGTGTGTGTAAGCAAATTGCTTTTGAAAACAAATCTACTTGTAAACTAAGACCAATATTGCTACGGACATTAGTTTGATAAGGATCTGAGTGTAATCAGTTGTTCAGTGTGGTGGAGTGATTTTTGAAAATTACGCTGGTGACCTG